ATTTATACTCAATGCTTTACATCATGCCTTGTTCAGTTTTAGTTTGCCAGTTTGTTCTATATTTAGATGCTTATTTACAGTACATTTACATCTAACTATTTATATGCTTCCATTGTGTTTAGTTCTATATTAGTCGGATTTACAAGTATGCATTTACAGTATACAAAAACAAATAACTTCGTTTAACCAGAAATGAATTAAAATCAGTGTTTCAGTTCTTGTCATACTAATTGGTCTATATGGTTTGTGCATTTGACTAACACATGTTCATTGTATTTCTTGTTGTAAACCACATTTTAACACAATAATTAAAATTGTTTGAAATTTTTACACCTTTGCTCTTTTTTACCCTTACGTCAAAACTCTTTAATATTTGTGAGAATATGAAATTTCATGATTATCATAAAGAACATGGATTAACCAATTTGTATTAGTATACGTGCATTCTGTCATGATTGTTTTGATATTGGCTTTCAGATTTTGGGGTTCGAGTTTTACTATGAACATATTCGCTAGGATTCAGATACATCTAAGTTATGAGTTTCGAATTGGGCGAAACGTGTATGCTAAACACAAATACCAGCTATTATCCAAACGCACTTAAAACTAACATTCTTTACTTATCTCCTTCTATGATTTCTCCGTTTTTAAAAATTCTTAAAATCATAACTTTGAAGCAACTCATGGAATCGTTTATTTAATAATTGTTATAAAATTATAATCATTTGCTAAATCACTTATCGACTAATATGAAGCAACCCACTCTTTTGTCGTCATTCATATCAACAAATCGTGATCGGTTTATTTTATGAAATGGTAACCGAAAACTAAATGCCAATACAGTAATGTCACATATGAAAAGTACCTTGTTCATTTTTACTGATCTTTCTGAATTGTGCTAATTTTTTTATCAGAACAATAATAATATACTGGTGTGTTGTTTATAATGCCCAAAAGACAGGTAATATTCTCATCCAGAAGTAAACTTTTTTCCAATAGCTTAAAACATTATTACAAATATAATTTGTCAGTTTAGATAAATAACACATAGAACTATTACGTAATAAATATCAAAATTGCGGACAACTATTACCTATGGATTAACAGCGTATAATGTGCTATTGTAAATTATAATTCCCAATCGATATTTTACATTTCAGTTGTTTAGACATATACTAACATACTTAGCAACTGAATAACGATTAAGAGTATTTCATTGACATATTACACAAAAATTATATAGAAAGTAATTGAAGAATTATTTACAGCTTTGTTAACATCATAAAAACTAATTGGTCGATAATTGGATAAATATTTTTTCTGACGAAACCAATATCAGTTAATATTAAAAACTAATTATGAAATTCGAATTATTTGTGTTACGTACACACATGCATCTCAGAGTTGATGTTCAATCCGGGCCTCGAAATCAATACCGTTCGCTTCAAACGCCAACGCGTTATCCACTTTGCTACTGAGCTCTGATAGCTTCAAGTAGCACGAAAAGCTCGTCCTAGATTCCTAGCTGTCATCCATGTTTGCTTATAATGCTTATGACTGAATGGAATATCGAGGCAATCCGTACAGGATGCACATATGCCAATATGAGACTGATCGATTGCAGTCCTAAACATCAATGAGAATTTTCAAACAAACAATACAAAGTGAATTTGAGTAAATTATTTAGTTGATTACTGTTACTGATTTACAAACTTTAACCAACCCTCTTCGCAACGTTTTCTGTTTGCTAATACCTTTTCAGTTGATATTAGTATGTCACAAAAACTAACTTCCATTGAAATAGATCTTCATACTTTATCTATTTTATCATATTATATTATTATTCTGTACTAAACACTGTTACCTTCTATATTTCTGAATATGAATTTCTACTGGATTCATTTTAATTTTGTTGACGTTTGGATTTTTCAAAAAAAATTACAGACTTTCATAACAGCTTTAATTGCATCATCAAGATATGATATCATTCTAATCACGGAGCAGATGTTATATTACTAGTAATTTCACTGCCTATTTGTATGTATAGTGGATATAATAGATATCTGTGAAATTATCTTAAGTTGAACAGCTGTCGTAATCTTATTCCATAGATAAGTGAACGTTATTTTTACATTAAAACCATCAAATTTATTTTCCAATGGTTTCAGTGCCTTGAGACTATCTTAAAGATGTTCGCTGAATGAAATATATTTGCTGAAGTGATTATTTTTTCTCTAAATTTTTAATAAATGTAATAAATGGTTTACGTAGCCTTTAATAAACTCCATTTATCCATTATAAACAACCAAGTGAACAGGCGATCATTTGTAATGCAAGATGGATGTTTACTAGAAGAGGAATCCAAGACTTGTTTGTGACTAATCAGCTGGTTGTACCCGAATAGCAAAGTGATGTCCAATCCGAGACTCGAAACTGTTACTGCTCTTTCCAAATGACATAGCATTATTCTCTTAGCCAATAAGTCGGGATAGAGGGTGTTATATTTGGTCGTCGCAATTGCTAATCACTTATACTCAGAAAGAGGGACCTCTGCAATTCCCACTACGCGAAAGTAAGAACACAAAGACTGGTATAAGTGAAGATTTATTAGCCCCAAAACACGACGACGACGATGATAATAATAATGAATCACAATAGTCTAAAATACACTGAATTATATATTGATTGTACACCCATTTTGATTATTAATTAGGATTAAATCACATACTCAGTTATAACAAATCACTTACTGAGCATAGTTCATGTCAACTGAATGCAAGAATATCGTATATTATACAGAAGGAAATATCATACTGGGAAAACAAATCAAATACTACACTGACTGATCATCACATTGAATTAGAAGGGAGGTAATGTTGAACAAAACTCATAATGAGTAAATCAATCGAAAATTGACTTTTCTTTCCATCATATCAGAGGGTGAACATCAACTCTTGAAGAAACTCTCGTCTCTGATTCTATTGCTAGCCACCATCCATCTCTGCTTAAAATGTTTGTGACTCACTAGCAATATTGAGGCAATCCACACCAGATGTACTCATACCAAGAAGAAACTGATCAATTGCAGGCTTAAACGTCAGTGGTAAGATTCAAACAACCAATACAGACGATCATTTGTTTCTCGTAGCAAAATGATCATTTAATTCAACTAAATTTTACCGATTACCAGACAATATCTAAGGCAACTGTGAATAGATTACTAGTTTCAAAGTATAATTTTCAAATGATATTCATTTTTATAGACATTATTGTTTTGTTATATCAAACACTTACTCATTTATCAGGATGGGTTTTGTGGAGATTTTTAGAAATTTCACTTGTTGAAATCATGGCTCAATTAAAGCTAGACCACCATGGAAAACCTGGAAGCACTGGAAGGCCGTTTCGTCCCAGTATAGGACCCCTCAGCAGTGAGCATTCACGGTCCTGCACCCCGCGGGATTCAAACCCAACTTCGTGGATTGGTTGGAGTTAGACATTAACACCGTTGGATGTCGGCTCAGTGGTCTAATTGGTTAAGCGCCTGGCCCGAGACTGATAGGTCCTGGGTTCGAATCTCGCGGGGTGCGGGATCGTGATGTGCTCTGCTGAGGAGTTCCATACTAGGACGAAACGGCCTTGGAGTGCTTCCAGGTTTTCCATGGTGGTCTGTTTTCAATTGCCTCATGATTTCAACAAGTGAAACTTATTTGTTTGAAAAAAATAATAAAATTTTATTTCCAAGTAAAATGTGTTTCGGATTTTCAAGTAACTTCTTGATCATCATCTTGAAAAGGTTAATTACTAATTAGGATTTAATTAAGAACAAGCACATCATCAAAAGAAGTTCATTTTAATTTTATTCATGTTGTATAACACTTGTTAATAAAATTGAATTAATCGTTGGTTAACATTGTCTTTACATTGGAATTATGTAATAAATTTCAATTTGTCTTTTTGAAAAATAATCACTGACACTGCGATGTATTAAGAAGACAATCGGGGTTTCTTTCTTCATTTCACAAAACAATTTAACAATTTGATTAAACTAAATTAAATAATTATGAGTCAAAATGTAGAGAGAATTGTTTAAGAGTACATAAATGATTGTGTTCTTTGGACACTTTTATTAGGATAAATACAATGGAAACAAGCTTTAAATCTGTCAATAACTAAGAGCTATTTTAATCCTATTTTTAATGGAAAGCAACTGTTGTAAATTTATATGAACAATAAAGAAGATATTACTGGCCAATAAATTATTTTTCCAAAATAATGTAACATGACATTCAATTAATTCACTATAAGCAATTACATTTTAAACGTTTTAAGCTAGATTTTATAGTAAATAATGCATCTTGTTCAATATTATGAATGCAAATATAATGGTATGGGAATCTAACATATTTATCATAGCTGTTAGTTTATATTCGCTCTAATCTACTTTACAGACAAATCTGAAGATTTATTATTCATTCATTTATCATGATTCTAAAAGCTCTCTTAATGCTTCCCTACTAAGAAAAGTATATAATTGTTTTATTATTAACATTCTACTCGATCATTATAAGCAGAGATAGATACTGACTAACAAGGGAATTCAGGACACAGGTTTCACCCTGTATGTGACTCGTCAACTCGATCTAACCAGTGCTTAATTTGTTCGAAATTATCAAGTCTAACCCTGTGAATGATACCGATAATGTTACTAAACATTCAACGGTATAATTCAGATTTCTACAATATGTTATAATTTCATATAGGTGTTTTTTGAAAATATATGTTAGCTGAATATATGAACGTAATGTTTGTTCAAAAGGTGGAATATTTAATGTTATATACAATTATCGTATCCACTTTATCATTTTATTTCAATAATCCTTGGTCTCAATTAAACTAAACATTTTACAGCATATTATTTTCTTAAATTCATTAATGAATATTTTTTTCCAAACTATTTCCTTTTCCACTGTTATTTTCTTATTTTTCTATTTTAACAGGCATCTCATCAATTGTACACCATTTCGATATTTCCATACCTGATTCATATAAATCTCTATTATTAAAATTATACAAAGCTTATGAATTTACACGACGTTTAGATGTCATTTTTATACGTTTTCTCATTATGTTAAAAAATATATGTTTTAATGAATATAACAAATGTATGAAAAATTGGAATGTTACATTACAACAAACTGATGATAATCATTCTATCCAGCACCAAACAAACATAATTGATAATAATATAAATCAAATTACATATTACTATCAACAATCTATATATATTGAATTATTATTTATTCATTATGAAAATCTTATAAAATGTTTTAAAAATTTAACTGATATTGTTTTTAATAATATCATCTATTGTATTTTATATTGGTTCGGTTATACAAATAATTATGTAAATGATGAAATACTGAAAGAATTCAAACAATTATTTAATCCAATGAATTCATATTTTCTGTCAAATTTAACATCAACTCCATCATCAAGAATATCAGTAGGAACAACAACCACAATATCAAATAGTAATTTTGATGATCTAATTGAAATTAAAACAAACTTATTGAATGTAGACAGAAATGTTCTAATACGGTTAGCACGTGTAATAGGAACATTAAGTCAAGTGAATAATTTATTGATATCATTAGATAAGAATATTAAGGTAAGTTTGATTTTGTGAAGTATACATTTTTATTGGTTGTTTAAACATTTTATGAGTAGAGATTGAAAACTATGGGCTATAATATGACAATTAGTATATTTTATACAAGAAGACACAATCACTGTAATCTGTACATAATATGGACAAATCTTACGTAGAGTATTTGCTGATAGTATTGTTTAGAATAATGATAAAAATCTTCATAATTAAGCCATTGAGCACAGTGAGCATAACACATTTAAAAGCATTCGCTTAAGCTACAAATTTTTCATTTCTCTTATTTTTCGCTTATAAAGGATGACTAACTACTGAAGTCTATAAGGAAACGATGTCGTTTTCTCAGAAATGTTTTTTAAATTACTAAAAAATGTAAAGAGTTATTCTTTGCTTTCAGTTATTTTCATTCAAACTCAAAGCCTATTTTCAATATTTGAATTATGAACTAGGTTCATATCATTCTCTGTTGCTGTCCGATTAAAACTTCCCATCGGATTAAATTGCGCTAAAAAAGGATATAGAAATTGGTTATTATTCTTGATAAAAGGAAAATATTTTTTCTAGTATATAAGTGAAAACAAAGTTTTCACGGTACCATTTAAGTGAAAAAAACACAACATTACTTGGACTTCACGGTTTTCAGTTCCTATTTCAACATGTGAAAAAATATGGATCTTATTTTATAGGATTACCGATATTCATATCCCACAACTCATAGATGGTTATTTTACATTTGAAACATAAAATAGGCTAAATTACTGTCTAATGGTAACATTGGTCATCTTATTAATTAAATGGATGTTACTATGAGTGGCGATTCGGTTCATTTTATTACTATTTATTTGACTGCAATATCATTTATGATGTGAAGAATATATGAAGGTTTGTAGTTGGAACTCTGTACAGGTCTACTAAGTTTAAAGTATCATTTTATTTGAAGTTATCATAATTAGTTTTTCTTGATGTAACTTAAACTAATTACTCCATAAATTGAAAAAGGATAATTTTTTGAAAGACACCTGTTGGAGTAAATAATTCATCACTCAAACTTACGACCAAGTATCATGATAAACTGATTGTTATTCTTAAAAGCGAAATTTCTGAAGATTTAAAGTAATCATTTATCATGTTTCATAGTTTACCAGACTATCGAGATGATCAGTTTGCTTGAGTAGTACCTTTATTAGAAATAAAAGATCTCTGAATAGAAGTAACGTCACGTTTGTAAATTTATGTTGGAATACCTTTTTTGTGACCAACATTAATTCTTAAACTCAGCGTCCCTAATTCTATGTTATGTAATATAATGCGTTTATTTATATTTTGTTGTAATTGGAGATAATTTTATCATTTGTGTGGCTTTTTTATATACAAAAATCATTATGTTGTGTCAGAAAATTTCTTATGTCACTAAACTAGTTTAAAACAAATTCGATTGGTGAAATCCAGGACACGCGCTTTGTTCTAATTAGGACTGCTCAAATGGACGTATTTACATCCAAAAGTTGATATATGCACTGAAATTTGAATCGGATACCTATCTCCTCAAAATGCGATACTTGTGCATAGTAAACTTACAAACTCTTATAAATCATATTCATGTCAGTTGCACAAGCCAGTGACTATCTGAACTCAGTAGCCCGATGGATAGGGCGTCGATGTTTAAATAGCAGGACACTCTGCTAGAATCTCAGTGTAAATAACAATAGAATGAAAACAGCATCCCGAACACAGCTCAAATAAGTAAACGGGAATAGACGGCAGCTTTGAAGTAAATCTTTTAAATACTTAGAAAGACTAATGTGTTGCAGCCCTTGATATCGTGAGGAGAATAAAATCTCTCACGCATGAAAACATTGATGTACTTTTTGTCGTAATCCTAACACGAAAATAAATGAAGACAGTAATTTTATGATGCATTTTCTGAAGGTACGTTCAAATATCAGTTGGTTTTTGTCACGAACTGACACCAGTTGCAGGAACTTTAAAGAAACAAGCAGATGTTATGTTTTTTTAACTTATTCGTACAAATAATCTTCAGATGATAGTGTTGAAATTCCCAAATCAACAACACTGTGAATATCAGTTTAGTTAACTTACGGTTTCACTATTTTCATCGTAAAGCCGTGCATTCTCCATTTTTCCTGAAGAGTTTTGAACTAGAATATAACATTTATCAACTTTTTCCTTCTTTCAGTATTCTTTCATTTATTATCGATGCGTAATGGTAATAAACTATTTTTTGAAACATTTTATTGATATATCAGGATATCTGTCTTGCTACAAACAAACTATTATTCTGATAGAACCATAAAAGTGTCGATATACATATATATAATTTTTATATATTTTGTTCTATCATCTTATTAATCAGAAATAACTGCAAACTAACAAAACTGTTTGATTGAATTATTACTCAAAGTAATCATGGTTTCAGTATGTAACTATTGAAATTCTATTATACGAGACTTTATACGCTTTTTGTTAACATATAAGTTAAAACAAAAGCGATGCTCAATGTTTATTTTAGCATTTAAGTAAAATAAGAATCATGGTAACTGATTTATTTATCGGTAGAAAAATGACTGGTTTTTTTGTTACAAATTTTATTGATGAAAATATAGAAACAGTCCTGTGAATCAAATGAAGATTAGTTTCTTAATTCTTACTTACTTACTTACTTACGCCTGTTACTCCTCATGAAGGAACATAGGCAGCTCACCAGCATTCATCAGTTTGCAGTAAACTAGTATCATTTGTAGAACGGTCGACAATCGGAAAGTAGTCGTCATCTTTTTATCTTACTAAGTATTCAAATCTACACTGAATCAACCACAACACTTTGATGTGTTTGGGAAAGGAAATTACCTATTAAATATTTGGCTGAGATTTGATGGTCAACAATGCATGATTTAGCATGATACAACATTCTGTATCGTTGATAAGTGACACTTTTACTCACAGTATCATAGTCCATCCCCCACATCTTCATTTCTAAGACGTTCATGTCATCCTGTAACTATTCTTCAGCTAGTGTCATCGAATAAGTGTAATTATTAAGTTTTATATTTGCTAAATTATCATAAATTAATAACTGCTAAATAGAAAAATATTATTCATATGCTCCTATTTATAAGTTCAATGACTTCTTTATTTCCAACAATTGAGATCATGAGTCAATTGATACTAGACCACCATATGAAACCTGGAAGAACTGGAGGGCCGTTTCGTCCTATTGTGGGACTCTTCAGCGTTGCGCACCCACGACCCCGCCTTGCGGGATTCGAACCCAGGACCTATCAGCCTCTTCATTCATGATTATTCTAATCATTTGCACTAAAGCACCTATTGATTTAATATTCCTGATATGTGTGTCTCAAAATATATTAAATAAACGTTAGATACTCAATGATAATGAATTTCTTCATTAAAATCGTTAAGTAAATTATTTGTTTGGAAAAAAACTTAGAATTTTTCTAAACATTGCAAATTTCCTAAATTTTTTTCCTTACAGGAATGGAAAGAAACTTTAAGAAAAACATTTCCACAGATAATGAATAAACTTATCGACAAATACATTCTTAATTATCATAATGAAATACTATGTAATTTCCAAATTGAAAATAATGATTTAATTAATCTAATGACCATATTTCTTAAATCAATTAATAAAACAATTGGAACTTGTTTTAATTCACCTACAGAGAGAATAATTTCAATTGAAAATTCATCAATATTATGTGAATATCATCATAATGTGTTTTATTATATAATTCAACCAACAGTTATTCAATTTTTTCATAGATTATCACTATTATTAAAAGAGACATCTATAAAGTAAGTAAAATATATTATTTAAAATTGTATAATGTTTTAAACGGAAGAAATAAAGTTCAGTATAGGGTCGTGAAGATTGTTGAGTTTTATTTCAGATAATGAGCCGATCAATGCTAGACCACCAGCACTTGACAGCCGTTTTATCCTAGTGTAGGACTTCTCAACAGTGCGCATCCATACTAGGACGAAATGGTCATTCAGTGCTTCCAGGTTTTTAATGGTGGTCTAACATTGATCGCTTGATGAACATAATCATAACTCAACGATCTGATCATTATTATATGCTCACTGGTGACTAGCTTCGAGAGACTGTTCTCAGAGTCCTAGTCAAATGCTGTGACAATTGGAGTTCAACCGTGTCAGGTGTGGAGCAGTTACCGAAGTTAATGGAGGATGGTCGCGCAATATCGTGGATTGGCTAAAGTTAAACAATAACACCATTTGATTGCGGTTCAGTGGTCTGAAGTTTAAGTGTTCGCGTGCGAGATCGAATGTCCTGTTTTCGAGTCCCTTTGGTGCGGTATCGTGGATGCGTATCTCCGAAAATTTCTATATTAGGACGAAATATCCGTCCACTGGTTCCAGGTTACCAATGATGGTCTAATACCGATCATTTCATGATTTAAAGAGAAATAAACATTTAATTAACTATGCCTATTCAATTTGTTAAATTAATTACTTTAATTAATTAATTAATTCCTAGTGTAGAATAATCAATAATATAAATAAATTTGTCAACTATGAAATTCTAATCGAGTTAATAATTATTTATTAATGAGTAAACGTTCAGCAATTTCATAAATAATATGTGAAATATATGTGGCCGAGTTGCTTAAGCATTCAACAGTACTAGTTATTTAGAAGTGTTTCATATTAATTGCTTAAAATCTTTCAAGTGAAAATAATGTAGTTCTTAATTCATAATGACATTGTGTCTTTCACCACTTATGTATATAGATAAAAGTAGAATGTTGCAGGAATAGGAATTGAAATGCTTACCGCTAGAATATTGAAATAAAGAGAACGACAAGCAAAACACCTAGCAATCGGAATAATAGAAGAATTAGAAAAATGTTAGAGTATGTAAAGGATAACCGAAGGAAGATGTTCAACTTATATATTTAATATATGATTTCCATATTTTACAAAAGTGCTGTGCGTTTTTGCATAAAACAATGAATTGATTTACAGTACCTGAGTTTTCATTCATCACAGCATTTATTTTAGAAAAAGATTATTGTGAAGTTTGTGAATATACTTAATAATTAGTTTTGAAGGTTTGTAAAGAGTTTTTCATTAAAAGTTTATATCACATATCAAATTTAGATAAGTAAATAGGACACATCAAGGAAGACAGAGTAATTGTTTTTTTCCAAAGCGGGACATAGAATTATGCACCGACTACTCGCTTTGAAATGAAGCCGAAATTTATAAAGTCAAGTGGCAAGCTCACCCCTTTTGAATTATAAATGAATTGGAATTCAGTTGTCAACAAACTCAACTATGAATACATAACAACGGGTAACTTTATCGAAAAGCTTGTTTAAATGACAAAACTCGCTTCAGATTTAATCACAAAAAGTTCAATGTATCGTAACCGATGCATGTATATGCCTGGTCCTACGTTGTAACTGACTGACTGAATAAATATTGATTCGGTAGTTGTTTTATCTAATGTCAAACTTTTTATTAATATTAGAAAACAAACAGGGTCTATTCTTGTTTAATTCTACCTTTTAGTTTGCAGTTATACTTTATAGACTAGATCAATCTTGTTGAAAATGTCATGTCACAATAAAATATGTAATTATAAGTTTAGGGGTTGTGGAGATTGTTAAGTTTTTGATTGAGATCATGAATCGATTAATGTTAGACCACTGATAATTATCATGTGTTCACCAGTGACTAGCTTCGTGAGAAAATTCTTGAAGTTCTGGTGAGAAGCTGTGACCAGTGGAGCTAATTCGTGTCGGGTAGAAACAGGTGTCTACCTCAGTACAATGGAAGATGGTCGCGCAACTTCATGGATTGGTTGAGGTTAGACATTAACACCATTGGATGCCGGCTCAGTGGTGCAGTAGGTTAAGCGTTCGCGCGCGAGAATGAAGGCCCCGGGTTTGAATCCCACAAGCGGGGTCGTGGATGTGCACTGCCGAGGAGTCCCACAATAGGACGAAACGGCCGTTCAGTGCTTCCAAGTTTTCAATGGTGGTCTAAAATTATTCGGTTCATGATCTCAATCCAAAAATATGTAATGTTGACTGATTTAAATATGATATCAGTGTAGCATAGTATAAATATCATTTTATTGAACAACATCGCAATTTAAATATAATTTTTGATTGGTTCTTTTTTCAGTTAAACGCTTGTTTATTAAAAGTTAAATATTTAGTGTGTTTTCTTCCTATAAAATTTGAATTATTTGTTTGGAAAAATAAGATTTTTCAGTTGATGGTAGGTGTACTCTTCGCATTGGTTGTAACGAATATATCTTTTAAAGGATATTATAGATTTTTTTCTCGGCTCATTGTTAATGGCATGAACTGCGATTTGACCATGATTTTTTTAATGATATACATGACATCAACAGGAACATTCATGCAACCAATGCAAATGAATTAAAATTCACATCTCATAAGTCAATGGTTATGTGGAAAAGGCATCGGGCGTCTGAAGCGAAAAACAACCAAGATTCGAGTACCGGTGTGACAATTACGACTGAGCTGTAGGTTATCCAGATGATAGGTCCTAAATATAACAAAACACGCCTTCTTGATTTCACTACCAGCAACCACTTAAATCTGCTTATAAAATGCATGTAACAATGACATTACTGAGGCGACCTGTATGAATGAACGAATACCGATTGTATCCCTAAACATCGAGGGGAAAATTCAAACAATCAATACAAATAAATTAGCATATAGATTAGTTTACTCTACTTTTTCCTGAATATCTGCTATTTGGGTTTACTTTATAAATTTAGTTAGTTATAATTTCGCCGATCATTATGGTTACACGCAACTAATGATTGTTCCACCCATAAAACTATTTACGTTTCATCCAATTTTAACAAGCTAGGCACTAATCAGCAAGAACCTTCATGTTATTTATTCTTGGAGATGATTGAATCTACTGAGTCAATTTGGCTAATGTAGTGATTGACTTTTCTACGTGAATAAATTCACGTGAACTCAGATCCTAATCATTCAGCTTGAGACAAGTATTATCAATGCTGCTGAATTACGGTCATATAATATTGCTAGTAGACTGAATTTAGAAATGTGTACGTCATTAAATACCAACTCAATGATCTGACTGTTACGATTCAAATGAGAGCTCCAAAGGTTGGTGGTTCAACAATAGTCATGGTAGTGAACACACTGTGAGACCATCTAATACTAGAATGAAATAGCTGCTCGTTACTTCCAGGTTATCAGTAAGTGCCTAATTAAATTTAATCCGTGATGTGGAACTACAAATTCAATAGTATTCATGGCTCCTGTATACTAATAAACTCATCAAGGTTATTATATTTTAAACGAATTCTTACTCATTGCTATATGATGCAAAATATATTCGATTTCTGTTAAATTAACATTTATAATAGTTTATCAGCCACAAAGTAAACAATTTTTCGGTTAGCAGTTTTTCTATTGATCAAGCATTGGTTTTTATCAGCTATTATTCTAATTTGTCCAATAATAAATGGAAAATATATTTTCATTAAGATTCATCTATAATACAAATGACTATTAAGAATATAACGCATATAATACTTATTAAAATTAAATAATGGGATGACACATAATAACTGAATAATTTTTTTCTACAGACATTTAATCAATGAGACTAATGGATTATGTGTGTAAATCTTTAGATAATTTATTAAACATCAGAGACTAGATTTACTTTAATTTGTAATTCAAATGTTTTCAGAACTAAGCTGAATGAATTGGACTAGAATTCCTATGGTCAGTTTTAGTCTATGCAATTAAAGCTGATGGGAAATCATTGTATTTCATCTTGGTAAATTATTGAGAAAAGTTAGTAATGAAATATTGCTTAAACTGCCTAAAAATTTATTTATTGAATTAAAGTCGCCATATACAATCAATTGTTCAATCGTTTCTGGTTAACATGAAATAAAATGTTATTGTTTCCGGAATAAGAAACAATCTATGAAATAAACAATCTTGTAGGTATTTTACATTTTTATGAATATAAACCTGAAGTGTACAAGTGAGTTCAGAAAGTACAAATCGTTTAAATATGAGAAAATGTTGGACATGAATTTATTATGAGTTACAATATCAAACATCATAAAGGTTGTAAAATTATAAACTTATTGACCTAGACCATTTAAGTGTATACATTCATGATATTATTTGAGTATGGTTAATTGCATTTCTGTTTGTGTTAATTTACTGTTCGGAAAAAATCATATTGAGATGTCAGGAAGGAATCGTACATATGACTCCATCAGTGTTATTCTTTAATTGATTCATTTTTTGTATTGGAATATTGAGCAATTGGCTACAAATGATGTGTTTTTGATTAGTTAGTGACAGATTTGTCTTATAAAAGTTTCGGTGAGACTATAATCTATGAACAACTTGAGAATAACCGCCTACTTAGACTAAATGAGGCTTATCACGTGGTGTTAGGAATTAGAATTAAGATTCACAGTTGATGGTTAGGGTTAGGAACTAGATTTTAGGCTTTCATCACGAACCAACATCAGCTAAAATGACAGAAAGCTATTTAACCAAATGGATAAATGAATTTCGTGCCAAAATCTTAGAGCTGTTATCATATGCTTAACTAGTTCGTCCATGAATTATAGTGTCCCCACAGTTTCCTTAAAATTAACCATTGATCAGTTTAATATGCAACTATATTGATTCACTTTAGCAAGTTGAAATATGAAAGAAACCTATGGTTCTTTTAAGGAAAAAAACAAACAAATTAGCCAATCCTTTCCTTTTTACCTACATCCAATTGTTTACCTCTAATATGTAGTTTCTGTAAAAAAACTTTTTTGTTGACACTAATCGGTTAAAAACAATCTTTGAGGGATACGGTCGATATAAAATATCGTTATAAAATAAGAAATTAGTTTAATTTCTTTTTAAACGGTTCCATGGTCAAGTCAGCTTGATTACTTTAGTTGAAAATATTAAATTTCAGTGTGTTTTTTACCATCAAATGTTTACGCATCAATTCTTTAAAAGTATATTATAGATAACTAATATTATCTCTCGTCGATGTATTATTTTAATGACAAAATATCAGAAACGAACGCTTTACGCTGTTTTCATAATTAATAGTTTTCTAGTGTTTACTAAATTGTGAAAAAGATCCATGACATAAAAAAAGTAAAATAATTGATTGTTAAGCAAATGTTTTAATCACAGATTAATTATTAATGAACTCTTGAAGTTAGAAGCATTTAAACATACTATAAAACGTTTAAACATTTCTATGGCTATGAACAATATAATGTTCACTTTTCAACTATTTAGTGCGAATTTTGAATCTTTGCAACTTTTTCAACTTTCTACTTGTAATAACATGAAAATATGTTATATTTAATTTCATTTTAGCATAAGCTGGATGTTACATTATATATTTTAATTCTAGTCAAACATTATTTCTTATCATTTAAGGCCATATATATAAACTAACAGTATGGTACGTGCTACTTACATTGACATAAGTAGTATATAACGTGAGTCAGAAATGTGAGGTCAGGCAGCAGAAGATTGAGAAGATCAAGAAAGGAAGAACTAGAATACAGAGCAATTAGTATAGAAATGCAGGAACAATGAAGTTCGAGACAATTATTTAACATTTCGCAAATTAGATATTATATTATGGTTTTTCTATTTTACCAAGTAATTCTGTAATGTTGTGCTAAATATAATTCGATTGTCCTCACCTGTGTTCACCCTCACTACATTTGATGTCGCTGCCTCCACTAAGGATGAAGATTCCATGGCCGAAGGAACTTGAGGACAGAGATGTGGTAGGCTTCCTGAAGGAGTTTGAGGCCGTGGCGAGGCTGGTGGGAGTGAAGGAGCCGGAGGCGAAGGTGGTGGTGCTAGGGACGCTGCTGAGAGGCAGGGCAAAGGCTGTATATGACAGCTTGGACGGTGCTGGCGGAAAGACGACATGGGAGACAGTCACGGGGCGATTGATGGTGGAGTTCGACAGCCCAGTGTACAAGGAGGAGGCACTGCCGAAGTGTATAGAACAAATGATATAATTATGTAAGATAATAAAACACAAAGTATCTTAGAAATCGAAAAAGAAATGAATATAATACTATTATCTTAATCCTATTCATTATAAACATGGCCATTAAGAGTAGAAGACACTCGTAAGCTAATAGCATTTGACCACAGATGCCTTAGAAATATTGCTGGCGTCTGCTGGGATCACTCGGTAAGTAATAATGAGGTTAGACGCAGGGTATTAGGGAACGATGGTAAACCAGTTGATGAGGTTATGAATCTTCATCGACTGAGATGGTTGGGCCACGTGTTACGTATGACTGAACACCGATCACCACGACGCGCAATGTTGACTAGTGTTGGGAATGGTTGGAAGAAAGTTAGGGGTGGCCAAACCAAAACGTGGCATCAGTGCTTGAAGTCACTAACTTCTAGTCTGAGCCATGTTGGTAGATGCAGACTACTTGGTTGGGGTCCGCGTGACTATCGTAATCAATGGTTGGAGACTTGGTGACATGGCTGAGAATCGATTACAATGGCGTAGGTGTATACACTCTCTATCTTCCCTTAAACTAAGAGATTAAAATCGCTTCATATCTTTCTTTCTACTAACTAATTCTTTCTTCGCGTACTATATCCTTATTGCAATCTTTCTTTTATGTATCACCGTCACTGAATTAACTAATTTTATGAATCCGGTGTCCATCTTGTTGTGTTAACGTGGTATGGCAACTTGGACCGATGCATATATGTGCCTGGTTCTACGTTGTAGCTGACTGACTGACTGATTCATTATAAGCTTTTCTAACAGATATACGTATTATTCCATATTTACATTATCAAAATTTCATAGAATATACTAATTCAGTATAATAAATTGTGTATTGAATAATTATTTATGAATGCCTTTTTCTTATTTGTTCAGTCAACCATTTGTTGTTTGTTTTTCATTGGATAAAAGAAAATATTTACTGTTTTCTTTCTAAAAATTTCATTTCATAAACAAACTAATTCATTTATTATTTAGTTACCTATTCTTGCTTTAGAATTCATCAATTTAATAAGATTTACGTTGCCATTTATTTAAAATCAACTTGTTTTTTTGAGCATGGATATACAATAAAAGAAAAAAGAAAAAAAAGTGGAGAAATGAAAACAATGATAAATGAAGAAATTCTTTGCCTGATTTTCTAAATCTATTTAAATTAAAGTATGAGAAAAAAACAGGATGAGAAAAAAATTTCCCAAACACAAGAACGACAGAAATTGTCTATGCATATCCTGTTTATGACTGTGTCTTGAAGTGTTGATCATCTAATGAAGAAGGATAGAGAATATGTCTTTTTTAAAAAACGTAAGATCATCATATAAATGAAATACTTAGGGATAGTATAATTTATTGAGGCCAGTGAGGAGTATTCCATTTATGTTATTTATTTATGTAGTTGCCATGGTAATTATTTCGAGGAAAATGTTGCCTAAATTAAACCTATGAGAACGTCATGCAACAATCGGAATTCTACTCATCTCATATGGATTCAAGTGAACATAATATTTTTCATCAGTTTCAAAACTATTATTCATAGTTGTTAATTATATTTTACAAAATAACCAATTCTATGTCTTTTGATGTTGAGGATTCAGCTGAACATAGGCTGGGGTCTAATTTCAAGAAGGTAGGTGTTAGATAAGTAAAAACCATACCAGTTAACAAGCCTATTGTTGTTACTTATGACATGAATGTTTAGTTTTAATATCCAGAAGGATAAAATTCATACAGTTTTTTTCCTTATTATCTTTGTTTTCTCTTATGTACTAATTTATCAAGGGGGACCTATTTTTCTAATTATATAACAGTATGTCTAGTTTTTTAATAATAATATGTCACATCAGTTATATAAATTGTGTATTTTCACCGTATTATCTAGATTTATCAAAATTATAATCTATTTTAGCGTTCCTAAACTAAATATTTTATGATAGACATATCTTTATTGTTTGTGGAACATTCACTTCATTTATTTAAAATTTTATTTCACATCATTATTAGGAAGAGTTTGAGTTTTTCGGTTCTTTAAATTAAGCAATTCTTACATCCTGGGCAGATTTACTTGATATGAATGTTAACACTGAGGACCATTCCTAACTCAGATCAAACAATAAACCTGATACCCACCGTTAGCCACAGTCGATCCATTGTAAATAAAATCGCACTTAGTTTTCATTTTGATTTTTCATAGGATTCTCGAACAGTTTTATTTTTGTTTAGATAATTACAAAGTGACCAAGCACAATAAATTAATTGTTTCGTTACAATTATAGCGTTCAAAGTTTTGATTAATTAAAAATGATAATGTCGATTAAATTAAACAAGATTTTATTCATTCTGCAGAGTTGTTTAAAACAAATGTGACTATTCTAAATTTTATTTTTCATCATTCATAATTAAACTTAGTAATAAATATATATCCGAATGAGTAGAGATATTGTGTTTCCTACTTTTTGTGACTTAAAATAAGCTTCTTCCTCAGAGTAAGTAAATAATTGAATTAAATCAACACAAGTTTAAATGGTACGAATGAAACAATGCATAATTTATTTGGTACAATCGAAATTCAGTTGTTTATCTACTCTGAAGAAGTAGCTTACATAAAGTCGCGAAACGTCACAAATGCATTTTCTCCACCTATTGGGATATAACAAAAAATAAATTTATTATTAACTTTCTACTCAATGTCAATTTATTTGGAACCATCAAGTCCAACCTTGGTATTGATACCTATAGTTAAACAAAATTTAAATAACTGTTATCAGTCATGAAATATAGTATCATTAACTGATTTTTACAATCTTATTTATTCAATCATTCCAAATGTTTCATACAAATAATTCTGTCCATTCATTACAACAAGTACAACAAACACGTTGGGATGACAGAAATTCATTTCATTTGTTGTGTTTTAAATCTTCTATATACCCTTTTACTTTGTAACACTTTAAATAAAAACGTTTTATAAATATAATTGACTGTACACTATGTATAAATTCATTTAGTTTACTAATGGAAGACCATTATAATTTCTTTTATAAATAATTCATGTATATGAATTAAACTTGTTTAAACTATATAAAGCATTTGCTGTTAGAATTCACTGCTGAACTAAATCAATTCAACCATGTTACACAAAAAAAATGACATTTAGGAAATATTTTATTTATTTATTGATAACAATCAATCTAGATCTGAAAGATTTAGACATGATATAATGAATGTAATTGTCCATTTTTTACACCTTTCATCGTGTTATTATCTTGTTATTCAAAATGTTTCCATTGTCTCCGTATATATTAAGCATTGACTTACCTTATATTTTAATATCCAATTCAGTATACATGATTATTAATAATCGCTTTATTGTTTCCTCCTTTAATTGAATAATGTCTCAATAATCCTTATATTTATTTATTTTTAAATATCTTACAGTTACGATGAATTTATTCAAAAATATCTTATCATACGATTTCAAAATCAGGTGCCTTTAAACCTATTACAAGAAATTTATCAATCTATTAAGATTCATAATCAATCTGGTGAATCTTCATTAAAATGTTTTCATAGTACAATGTTTACTGAACATCAACCAGATAATGTTATTCAAGAGTAAGTATCAAATATAGTGAGAATGTGTTGTGTTTACTTTTAAAATGTACACTTTGTTTAGTCATTCATTGTTTTTTATTCAAAAGATAAAAAGTAATCCTGCTATGTTTGAAGCGATTACGAGTTCACCTAGGGATCTAACGTCCTCAACAGATCCTAATTGACTAACAGGAATTTTCGATTACAGAGCTTTATTATTGTATAAAGTTTAAATTTTGCATTATTTAATAGTATATGAACAAATGTTGTAGATTATTCTTGTACTATAAATGACAGTATTTATTATTATAAGCCTACAAACTGCCTAGTATTCCTAATAGCATCTTTAAGGTTTCTGCGTACATATAGATACATTTAATTAAAAAAATGCTGATAACATAGTGTATATTCAGGATTTATTTCAAGAGTAGTTATTAAGGACCTATATTTTGTATAGGGACTATTAATGTTATCTAGTTCACACATTTTGTTCTATTTGGAATGCATTTGCATTTAAGTTATATCTCCACTAAACCTTGAAACATATTACGTATCAACTTTTCCATTAGAATATTATTCGCTATACTATTGGCTCACGATAGCTCTCAACAACTTTATATATGTATATGTATAAGTTTTGCTAAATATAGGACTATTTTTTCTCACGGTTATCATTGAGAACTAAACTGTATATCTACTGAGTTGGAGTCTATTTTATATTTAGCTTCTTATAATTGTACTCATAATCCGGTTACTTGATTAATACTAGTTCGCTTTATGCCATTCTGACTAATAACTTTTCTCTTTACCAATAACATATTAATGTTAACAATGGCCTAAATCCAATTGGTTTGATCAGCTTATTCTAACCAAAATAGCTATTCAAAATATGAGCATAGTAAACAAATAAACATTCTGTTATTCTCTATTCTTTACTATCAGGTTTACTCAGAAAATCAGAACTACATACAGTGATAACAAATCCGCATAACAGAACAAAATAGAAATCATGATTTGTAAATAATTAAGTTATAAGTGATAAAAAACAGAATCATCACGTTAATAATTAATTATCGATAATTCTGAAACGGTAAAGTAGATAATAGTAATGTTTGAATCAAATAAAAGCGTATAATTAGAAGAATATCAGAAAACCATAATTCAAGTATTTATTGGTTACACAATAAAAATGTAACAATTCTCCTTAGAACATTTCTGAAAGTTTCACCTTCTCTGAATATCTGCTTCAATCTAATAGAGTCTGGATCTGAAAGTCAACAAAAATACAAATACAGCTGAATGATAAATCCCAAGTATGACGACAAATACAATCTGTATTCCATTTAAAATAGAATTCTTTTATACATCCAAGCAATACAAAGCTAATTCAACAAGGAATTAGAAATCTTCACTGATGATATTAACAATAATACACTGTAAATTTTGTATAAATTTATCAAATACTAGTGTACACCTTAAACCAAACCGAATTCACATCCACTATTCATTGTTTTCTTTTATCTCAAATAGACATTTAAATGGAATTATCATAGGATTTATGAGTAAATTAGTTTGCTTGTTTTTTTCTCTAAAGAAATCTATATATAAGCGTCAATATTTAAAAAGAAAACACAACTGTTTTAAAACGAAATTAGATTGTTGCCAAAAAAATATGAAGCGAGAGAATGAACGTCTTGTCAGGAATTTTTGTTTAAAAAGAAAAAGAAAACAATGTTTAATTTACTGGGAAAATATTCCTTTCCCTCTCTCACTACTAAAACAATAATAATAATAATAGTAATAATAATAATAATAATAAGTAAATCCTTAGCCTAAAAATAAATGCAATAATTTAAAAATAAATTAGAAAGATAGGAAAAAGAAATGATATTGAGAGAATAGATAGAATGCTGATAAAACTGTCAATTAGAATGCAATTGTTTTTTTTTCTTTCATCTCTATTGTGATAGATAGAAATTTTAACAAATTATAAAGGCTAATAAATGCTTTATTATAAAGCTTATTTTATTTTACTGTTATATCATCATTTCGTTGAAATACTATGTTCTATATTTATAACATCAATATATATATATATATATATATATATATATATATATATATATATATATATATATATATATATATATATATATATATATATATATATATATATATATATATATAGTCTAATCTTATTCATGAACTGTTTCGTTACATTCTGTTTTCAAAACAACTTACAATGCAAAAAAAGAATTCTATTTATTTTAAGATGAATTATTCAATTATGAAACCAATGGATAATTGAATGAGAGAGTAAACTAATTCTACTGAATCCTTTCCATTATTTAGAATAAAAGTTATTTATTTAGTAGCAGTTATCGTGCATTTATTGGTTTCAAAGTAAATTGTATACTTAATTGACATTAGTTAGTAAAAAAGATGTAGATTAAAAGATGTTGAAATGTTGTATTTACCTTAAATTAAGACTACTCGGTAAATACGTTACCTTAAGTTTACAGAAACTGGTATCTATAATAATCTAGTTTCTTTTTACAATCAGTAAGATACTTTTTAAATAATGAATTGGATTTCAGTGGATTATATTACCAACATTGGTCAATTATGGCTAAAGAAATGATGAACATCCGGTCATCATTGCTATTACATTATTGTGCTTGAATTTACATCGATAATTAAATGGGAATTAACTGAAACATTTTCATTCTACTGACTCATTTAGTTTATATAGTGAGTTTCAGTCATTTATTTTGGCACGTTAAGTGAATAGTTTTGTGAAAATGGATGGACATACTCCAAAATTGATTGTAAATATTCTTATTCAATACATTTTTTTCATCACGCTTTTAGAAACAGTATTTGAAACAAACCAATTAGTCCCATTTATAAATTTTTATAAAACAATGAGAAGGTTTTGATCTGAAAAATATGATGTATCTGTGCTCTAGATTTCGAGCAATCTTGCAATCAAGGATAATGGATAATGGCTTCATAAAAATTTATTTTCTAATTCTCCGGAAGTAGAAAACCATGTTCATTGATTCCGAATTAAATAATTGAAGCGGGTATAAGATTGACATTGATGCAGCTTTTAAAGCGTTAGACAGGAAGTTTCAAGGACAAATCCTAAGGTTTGTAGATGCCGTGGCTACTCACAAATCCTTCTCGAATCTGTCGTAATAATGTTTAAGTCCTTTCACGGTCTATGTTAGTGTGAAAATTACCAATTGTTCCCATATCATATTAATTTTTTTCTCTCACTGACAGTTATCGCTATGTTTACTTTGACTTTCATTTGACTGACCTTCATTAGCTTTCGTACAAAATACATTGACAAGCATGTATGACCAAATATTTTAAACTGAAACCGTCTTCCTACTGTCCTGTCAAAATAGTAAATTATTTAGAAACTTTATTCTCAAACTTCTTATTCTATGAGAAAATAATTATTTTTCTTTTATCGACATATGATATTATCAGTCATATTCATTTCAAGTCCAGCGTGTTTAAAAACAAAGTTTCCTTAGTTTAGCATTTTTTTTAAACACTTGATAGAATTGACATCATAATGAGGAGTCTACTTCATGTTAAAAATGGTAGACTACACACACTGCAGACGGTACTTACGCTTGTTACCCCTCGTAGAGGAGCATAGGCGGACCACCAGCATTCTCCATCCAACTCTGTCCCAGACAATCCTTCCCAGTCGTTTCTAGCCTCCATTCATCCTTTTCATGTCTGCTTTCACTTCACGGTGCAGTGTGTTCTTCGGTCTTTTTTTCCGTTTCCCTTCATAAACTACATTTCCCTAGTTTGTAATTAAAATTTCATGAAGTTAGTCAATTATCTTGTTATAGAATTTCTTGTGTTGATTGCTCTGTGATTAACTACCATTTTGACAGAAATATTTAAAGCACAATAATAAAACAAATTTAATTACGTGTTAATTATCATTACTATGTGAAGAGTGGGATACAATTGTTAGAAGTAGTTCATTGTAAAATATCTGGTAATCTCAAGTGTTTCAGATACGACCAATTGAACTTAACCAAATGCTCATAAAAAGTATCTGAATTTTTTTAAGAATAGTGAGGTTGTAATTGTTGTACACTTTAATATTTACGACAAATCGCTCTAATCAAGAATAATAATTAACAACGAATGATTATTAGACATCTATTTCTGCTTAATATGAAACTACTGACGTTTAACTGTGAACGAGGGGATCTCGAATCCAGTCACAAGAATGACAATAGTTATCACTTCCCGGTTGGCCACACCAAAGAAACTTATTTATTCTTTGTGTACCTCCAAAGAAAACGGTTAAGGATGGTCTTGGTAATCTGAGAGCGTGACCAGAATGCCCGATTGACGAATGTTTGAGGCCAGTCATAAACGGGCTTCCTATTAGTAATTTTATATGTAATAGCTTAACAATTTAAGGGTACTACCACTGACACCTGGTATCTATCTGACGGGATCACGTATGCTAATTTTGGAGCCAACACTTTCCAAATCCTTCTTTTGTTAGTGATCGTGTAGCGGTTCGCATCTTGTCAGAAGGTACTCCGTGTACTAGATGAGCATGCTATGAAGCGTGTGTTAGGAGAGCTGATAAAGAGAAAAAACTAAGAAAATATGAGCCAACAACACAGCAAGCGCACAAAATGCATTCACGTTGAATAACGAAAGCAATTAACAACAATAAGTAATAACACAAACATCAGACCAAGATAACGTAAAGTTTCTAACCCACTACATAGCTACCCCGTATTCAAAGAGCACTGTCGCAGTGCTAAATAATTTCACACACTTTGCATCCTGGCAAGCTCGCCACTTTAGCGTGGCCCGTGATCTGGCTCCAATTTGAACGTATAAATGAACATGTCATGGGTAGAAATTTTCGGGTTGACTCCGCTTATTATATTTAGGCTGACTCTGTTTGAGCGACGTTGGTAGTGAGAACAATAAGAATTAAGTTAGGTGAATTTATTTCATGTAATCGTCTACTCAGACAGGCGTTAAGATGAGAAGCAAAACGAAACGGAGAAAGTAAGCGTACCAACTTGATTTTATAAAGCCTCACACACTGGTTATAATCAGACAGAAAAATAAGTTGAAGATGTGTGATGAATACACTAAGTGATGTACACACACGCTTATATAAAGGTAACCAGGTGATAGTACGTGAGGATACTGACATAGAAATAACAAATTAATCATTCTATTCGAAAGTCAGACTAATCCATTAAGGTGTGACATAGGACTAGACGGTATAAGAGTGCAGCAGTGTTTGATCCGTCGAGGTCGTACCAATCAATTCATATTCCTAATTCCAGCCAATGTGTTAATGAATAAACACCATCTGCCTGTTCCGTTTGAAACATGACTGAACTCTCATCTAGCTTTTATTGGATGTCCAGCTGAATTCATTTGATGATACAAAGTGACTTCTGATAGTCTCTTTTGAAATCATAATCAAAGTTTTAAGATTTCTACTTTGTTAAAAGAATCGAGTGGACTAGGATTACTATTATCATTGAGATGCATAAAATCTTGTTAAATTGTATAGTTCAAAATCAAAGGAAAAATTTAGTTTTATTTATATGTCTCTTAGCAATCGATCTACATATAAAGTGTTGTTAATGTTATATTTTGAACAAAATCCTCATTTAAACAAATGAAAACAGCAGAGAGTTTTACTCCAAACCAAGTTTCAGCCTGAATGAACACTAACTACATAGATATAAATTAGTAAATGACACCTAATGAATTCAGTGACGCTCTGCTTGGCATAAACGACTAGATGTACTTGGTAGCAATATCCCATAATCTCGTGAAGTTAACTGCCAAAAGAATACTGATCTGTAATACTACAATGTTCAATGATTGTCAGTAGTTCAACGGTTTGCACATAAATGTCTATGTATTTAATCACTTAACTTTCTTATTTTTTTATTTACTTAGACAAGAAACTGAAAAGTTCTCATCGTTATCATCATTACTAACGGATACAAAGCAGTTGAAGAGTAAATTGAATTCTGGATCTGCAGGAGTTGACTTTATTCAATCCACAATGATATTTATGTCAACTGCCATGAAAAATACTGTGAATAAACATTTACCTAAAGAACCGAAAGATAAAATTGCATCTTTTGCAGCTGATGTTTGTTCTAATCTACGTTTACCATTCCGTAGTCAAACAACAAATAATCTCAATAACTGTAGTAAAACCACATCTACTACTACTACTACTACTACTACTACTACTATAACCATAGCAAAATCATCAACTATGAAAGATAAAAAGAATCTCTCAACGAATACTCCATGGAAAATCAATAATACATCTTAGCATATGGAGTCCTATTACTATTTTGGTTGTGTTATTTTTCTTGTCAATAATGTGTTTTTTCCAGTTTACACATTTAATAAAAGAATTATTTTAAGCAACTAAAATGTTAATAAAGATTCATTATAAAATTCACAAAACAATTATTTAGAGTATCTCATTTCATTTATCATTTATACTCTTATAAGTGTTTGTAAAAAATTCTTATTTTTTCTAACATTTCTCTTTATTTAATTCTTCTATCATACTGTGAATAGATAACAAAGAATACATATATCAATAGAATATTAATAGAATACTAGTTTAAATAAAGTTGATGTTAACTTTTTCTTTCTCTCTGCAAACTTCTTCATTACTTCATTATATTGAATCTTAGTGATGACATTTGTCTTGTTTTCCAATCTTCCATAATTTGTTTTCTTTTTCTTTTTTCTTTTTTTTTACTGTTCTACCTATGAACTTTAAAATATGTCTTATACAAAGTTGGAAAAACAACATAAAATGATAATATCACAGTTTATTCATTAATTATATTGTAAAGAAGAAAGTAACTCAATATTAATTGACACATTCTCATTTGTATAGTTAATGACAAATAAGTAATATCATGAATTAGCATTCATTTTGAATGTCATTGTGAATTGGCAATTAAAACTATAATCATTTATTATTAACACATTTGTGATGCAATTAAGATTATAATTTATTTTATTTTAATAATTTGTAGTTGATTAATTTCTTGAAATCGCATATAAATAAAACATTATATTGATGATTTGGTTCATTGTTATTTTCTTTTCTTCAAAATACTTGGAATAAGCCAAATATTTGAATTATCTAGAAATACATGGCTATTATATTGATTGATCGTTGGTTCTAATTAGATTATATTTATCAAATTGAATCACTCATTGTTTCACTCATAATATAGATCTGTTATCATGAGGATTGTTAAAAAAGTATGTAAATCTTTTCGAAACTCTTTACTTTCGAAATTTCGATGTAGCTTGTGTAAACAGTCAAAGATCATCTGAATTGATAGTTTTCCAGTTGGTTAAATTTTCATTTAACTTTATAATAAATATTCTCCTAGAGATGAACTATTCTTCTTCTGAACGTTTAAATGTTGCTCATTGAACAAATGAATTCATTTATTGATTTATACTGTTCAGTCGACACAATATTGTCCAATTAGGACACTGACAAAAATAGAGTATCTTCTAAATCACTTTAGTAACAAGGAATTAATGTTTAAAATATGATTCTTAAAGTTTTATCATATGGCTGGTCTAGATCACTGCTTAGTTTGATCTTAACGATAGAACATATTGATGACTCTGATCCCTTGATTTATCTTGGATGTCTACCAAAATTTACTAGTTATAACTTCTCACTCATGATCAGATGAGTGTTGACAAGTTTGGGTTTTTGTTGCATGTCTGCGCAACCTAATGCAAGTAAAGTCGAATTTGAATTCCTCATCTCATTTTTTCAAATAATATGCTCCTATGGATATGGTATTGTCATAGATATTTGTATTTATTGATTATGTATAAAGTCATGTTTGGAGTTAAAAGATGTATATTTTGATATCATGTTGACAGTAACATTCTTTAAATATATATATTCTGCATTACCTTCTACCAAATAAATCGATTTATGTGTATCTATCAAACGAAATGGATAAAAGTCCTAAGACAGAGGTTATAAATTAGAATATTTATCAATTTTATTTGTTCATTCGATAAACCCAATACATCAGGTACATGCTTTGGAATACTTGAATAAATTCAACAAATAAGAACCAATTATTAACCTTAAACCTATATTTATAAACTCCCCAATTGTTCATTAGGATCAAATCTTTACTTTACAGTAAACGTTATTTCTCTAGTGAGCAGCCTATGCTCCTTCACGAGGATTAACAGGCGTAAGTAAACTTTATTTCTAATGTAATAAAATAACTGCCTACTATTTTTCACATAAGTTTTCCCACAGTTTTCATCAGTTAGCATATACTCTAAATGTACAATATATGTATCATGTGATATTCTCATCTCTTACGTCATACATATTATTTTTCATGTGATCACTTGACAAAGTAACTTGTATGAATGAAAGAAGAGATCATTTCTTATCAAGTTAATTTTTAATTCCTTAAAATTTTGTTTATACCGTACCATCATTCAATTATTTATTTTGCTTTACGACTTAATTTCCATGATCGAATTGGATTACGTTTAAAATATTCTTGTTACCTTGACAACTGAACACTATGTGTTGCGAAACAATAATAAATAAGAGCATAGCCGAATGAAGTGAATTCGTTCTTCTTTACGTGTACTTTTTTGTCGGTATTATTTATTTTTTTAGGGTATTTAGGAAGAAATATATATACATACATACATACATACATACATATATACATAAAGGAGTTTTATTATTCATTGTTTTATATGTATATTAATGAATCAACTGATTTCGGTGAATCTTGTCAAAAGTTAAACTGGCCGTCAAGTTAAGTATAAATTTTCAACTTAAACAAAAATAACTGATATCAAAAAGAACGCTTAAATTCAATCGTCATTTCTTTCATAGTCTAGATTCTATTACTTTAATCATGTTTTCATTGAAGTGAACTAACATTTCAGTAATTTACTTGAATAAGGTTCTACTTAAATATATAAATGAATAAATTGCTTTAGTCGCTTTATAATTACATTGTTGAGAAGTTAGACGACTCATGATTTGGATGATGAAACACATTTAAGCAATTTATACAATAAAAATGTTATTCACAAAGTGTATAAAGAATGTACAAGCCGACTTCTTTGAAAAATTGCTTGCAACATTCATAAAAAGAATGCTTATACTGATGAATGCGGCAAGATATCGTTTGCTTTACATACAAAACACTAGGAAAGAAGATGAATTGTAACAAAAACATTCAAATTTAATTAGTGTTCTTATGTGCAGTAGATATTAGATTTGAGGACAATTTTCAAAGTCTCAATGAATGATCATATTCAATGTAGTTCAACTTTGTAATGCAAACTGACTAGATTTGAAAATGTAAACTACTGTTTTAGGGGAAAAGTGTTTGTTGCGAGAGCTTTGATAAGATTTACATACTTTTTTGACAATCCTTACGACAACAGACCTACATTATAAGTGAAACAGTCAGTGATTGAATTTAACTTGTGAAATTCAAACAACAGCTGAAGGAAAACTTTAAGATTCAGTGAATTGATCTTGTCTTGGAAATCTTATTGCTTTTGCTATATTTAAACTTATCAAGTAACAAGATGTATGAGACCACATTATATGGTTATCATTATTATCTTTCTATCATCTATTGTATATTCTAAGCAATCTATGAAATGCTCTGAAGTGAAAAGTTACCTAAAATATGAGGATAATAATCAATTCAACCAACAACAAAAAAAAACTCGGAATTATAGTCACAAGTTTAAATAGCCTGGAACTACATATTCAGTTCTCGAGTGAAGGAGAAGAATAACTAAATACAAACTAAATTTCCTATCCTGCATCATAATAATTCATCTTGGACATATATATATTGCACGGATTATATTATTTTCGGCATAAATTTGTTAGACATAGTTTACTTAATTCGTTTATTTTGTTTTATTTGCTCATTTAACTTAATAATCCTACATTTATTGACAAACACAATGAAACACACTACACATCTTACTTACTTAACCATACTCACTCATATGAAGTAATCTATTTTGAATACTCTCCAACCAAATGACCAAAATTGATAAAAAATTTCCTTTAGTTTGTGTTTTGATGTGGAATTTTTAATTCTTAACTGTTTTGTTTTAATTTTGAGTAAATTTCCTTAAAAATTTAATTTCATACTATTAAAAAAAGTTTTTATTTGCAACTCAATTAACTTTAATAAGTTTTATGAATAATTTGATTTGAATAATCTTAACTAAATTATTCATCCGTCTATTTAGTAATCTAAGATTTTGTTTGAATATTTTGTTAACATCATATTATGTTATGTCTAGAGATTAGATTTTGGCTATAAAGCGTACAATTTGAGCAAATGAACACTTGAACCCTTTCAAGTCGCAAGTTAGAAGACAAAATAATAATGAGAAAGAATTTTATTCCAAATAACTGATTGGATGGGATATGTTTGGATCTTCCAGAGCTTCCTTGAGTTCACCCAGGAGCAGTCCTTATAATACCTATCAACGAAAATTTCTTAACAGAGATTTATAAAACTTAATATTATTTTTGCATATTTATCGCTTTATTTGACTACTTCATTAAAAATTGCAACTTGATCAATAATTCTGACATAAATGATAAAGCAGAAGAGTATTTTGTGATCCATTTTTTTGTCTAGTTCAGATGGACTCGTGAATTAAACTTTAAAAATACTACAACCTCCACAAATCCCCATTCTGATAATAATCGTGTGCTCACCAGAGTAGAGTGAGTAGAGTCCAGTTCATGTCGGGTAGACAGTTATCCACCTTAGACAACTTATGAGGGGTTACACAAGAATATGGATCGATTAAAGTTAGACATTGACAATGTTGGATGCCGGATCAGTGGTCTAGAGGTTTGATGTTCGCGCTTGAGATCGAGTGTCCTGGATTCGATTCTTGCATGTAGGATTGTGGATGTGCACTGCTGAAGAGTCCCGAACTTGGACGAAATGGTCATTCACTGCCTCCGAGTTTTCAATGTTGATCTAGGTCATATCGACTAATGAATTCAACTTCGAAATTACTACAATCTCCACAAATCTCCATACTGTCAAATACAAACTTATATTCTCATTGATGAAATTCCAGTTTGATTTTGGACGAAAACGTTTTTTATTTCCTAGTTTAAGTTCATATTTATGTGTATTTTTTAATTCCAGAACACATGGTTACGAAATAAAGTGACATATAATTTCTAGCAATAATCAATAATCTTTATTGTAACTAAATAATCGAAATTTTATTATTACACATAAGAATGATATTTCGTTATGTTGATTTTTTAAAACGTTATAACAACCGATTATTTTATATTCTCTAAATATGTATCTGAAAGTCGATTTTTTATCACCGGTCGACATTATATAATGAATCATTGAAAAATTATAGACAATAAATGAATGTCCTTTTTTGAGTTTGAGACAATTCAGTGGTCGGTAGCCAACTTGTGAACAGATGAAATCTACATTTTAATATTTCAGGGACTAATATTGTTTATAGTCTGAATAGACTAGCTCACATGATTTACTTAAGGTACTTTGGAGTCTTACTTAGTTACTTATGCCTGTTACCCTTCATTGAAGAGCATAGACCGACCACCAGCGATCTCTACCCAACTCTGTCGTGGACAACCCTTTCTACTTGTTTCCAGTTGCTATTCATCCTTTTCATATCTGCTTCCAACTCCCAACGTAGTGTGTTCTTTGGTCTTCTTTTATGTTTCCCTTCAGGATTCCAAGTTAGCGCTTGCCTTGTGATGCAGATTGATGATTACCGCACTACATGTCCTACCCACCACCGACGTCTTTCCCTAATTTCCTCCTCATCTGGAAGCTAGTCTGTTCTCTCCCACAGTAGGCTATTGCTGATGGATTCTAGTCAACGGACATTGAGTATCTTACGTAGACAACTGTTTATAAATACCTGTATTTCAGCTCCGTATAGTTTAACCGTCTTGACGTTCGTGTTGGAGACTCTGATATTAATGTTGGCTGATAGTTGTTTTGAGTTCCGTATACTCTTCAACTGTAAGAATGCTGTCCTTGCTTTGCCAAT